GCAGAGAGGTCCCCTTCTGCAAAAAAGAAATGAACACACGCCGCGGGGCAAATCCCGTCCAGCCCAAAAATGCTCATGCGTTGAGCCAGTTCTCCTGTGCCGTCTTCATGTCTTTGCAGAAGCAAGTCTCTCTACCAAGGAATGCGGAGGAGGGTCGATACCCCCTCACCCCATTTCCTTCACCCCATTTCCTCCACCATACACACCCACAACACTCAGAAAATTCCTCCGCCCCCACATCGTCGAAATCTACACCTCGACCTTTCCGGCATCTGTGTGTGTATCTCATGAACTTCTTGCCTGTTTGATACCGTGCTGCCCGTAGCGATGCCGCTCCACGCCCGGGCTTCCCCTTCCCTGGCAACAGAGTACCTACCCATTGTGAAATACGCAACACAAACGACACAACAACAATCAACCTCGTAAAGTTCAATCTCGGCGTCGGGATTGACTCTACCTCCAACGCAATCAACGACGGTGCTCCGTGTCAAGGTAGATGCATCACTCGCCAAGGGCACCCACCACTCCCACCCCATGGAACGACAACCAGGCACGCACGATCTCCCTTCGGCAACATTCGCGAAGACGTGGCTGAAAAAAAGACTAACCCAGGCCCTGACCCGAGCCTTTCCGTCAATCGCCAAACAAACCGTTTTACAGGCTGTTGTCCGACATGGCTCGAGGGCTTGAGCACCTTGGCCGACATGGAGTCAGCCACAACGACGTGAAGCCCCGCAACATGTTGGTCTTTCAAGACTCGGGGGTGCTCGTTGCCAAGGTTACCGACCTGGGATGTGCTCTCGGTGGGTGGTCCTTTCTAGCGTGCGTTGCTCTTCAGCAGTTGCTGGGGCTTATACAGTAGCTGCAGAAGGTCACCTGTTTATACTAGTCTTTCCCGCTGACAGACAAAATCACTCACACACACACAACGACTTCATGCTGGATAATGCTCCATCTCAAACAGACATAGCTACGTTGGTTCGCGTCAAAGATGTGTGGTGTCCGTTGTTGTTATCGCCATGACCGATGCAGAGAGGCATTCTGTAGAGGGGCACGGCATAGGCACAGGTAGCGGGGTGCAAAGANGGGGGGGGGGGGGGGGGGGGGGGGGGGGGGGGGGGGGGGGGGGGGGGGGGGGGGGGGGGGGGGGGGGGGGGGGGGGGGGGGGGGGGGGGGGGGGGGGCGACGCTTGTCGTCACGTAACAACATGACAAACTAGCGATGAATCCAGTCGCACAAAAGGCCGCAGTGGTCCCAAAACCTCTCAGGAGCTTCCTACAACTAACGATCACGTACTGATGGTGCCTCTACCACTTGCCGACAAGTTCCATATATCTACGCCTTGACTAGAGACACGAGTCACATACGGAACAGGGAAAAATCGAAAAGCCGATTGTAACGGCACCCTCGAAAGACGGGAATCAGCGGCGTGAGGTTTTCAAGAGGTCCAAAGTGGTCCTACAGTACCAGGTTGGTGAGTTAGCTCCTGCATGCACTGACGCACCGGATCTTCCATGACACGCAATATAGCAGCGATTGTATGCTGCGACAAACACAACGGGAAGAAAATGTTCGACAGGGAACGAAGTGGTGTTTTGAGATACGGAGATAATTCGTTTCCACCTGTCGACGGAGGCACCAATCCAGGAAGGGCAGTGTGTGGTGGTGCGCGGGAAGGTGGCGGAAGGCTGAGGTGACAAACCAATCATTCCTTCCGTGCGCATCGAAAGCAACTTCATCGGCTCGCCCCACCCATCACAAGACGGGAGAGCAGCCATCAGGAGCAGAAAAGCAATGCCTTGGTTAGTAATACGCGTCCGCTTGTTTCTTGCGGCCTGCAGCTCACGGAGACATGAGGAGGGGGCAGGGCACGATCGGAGGCCAGGTGCCAGAAGGGATGATGAGCCGGGAGGTCGCGTGCGAGCCGTCTCAGGACGTGTTCGCTCTGGCACACATGATATTGCTGACGCTAACGAAGAACGAGTGGAAGAGTAGCAATATGTGGTTTAGCAAGGTGGGTGTTGGTGTTGGTGATGCGCGCTGTAGTTGCTGTGGGTGATGGTGGCGATGCTTATGTTGCCCTTCGATATTCTCGTGTGATGGGGGCGGTGACTTGGTACCACCGCAATCCACATTGCTACTCTATGTGCCCGATTTCAATCTGATTTCCATTTCCCTCGTCGATCCGCTGCTTTCAAGCTTGTCGCGATGATATTTCTTTCCAACTACTGGCTAAGAGAGAAATGTATCGTCTTTGCGCTATCCGCAACATATTTATTTTCTCAGGCGGTCCAGACGGATGGCGACAAGGAAATCATCAGCAAGATGGAAGCGAGAAATGCTTCTGTTGCTTCCAAGCACCGTTTTATGGTGAGTCAAACCGAAGCAGCAGCAGGCAACATTTCACACCCCTCCCCCCCCCCCCCCCCCCCNCCCCCCCCCCCCCCCCCCCCCTCCTTGAAATGATGGGGGAAAACTCTGGTGTACGGTCGGTGGTGTTCACATGAGGCAGTGAGACGGGCAGCAACGGCGGACTCAAGCACTCCATAGTACGGCCGAGTTGGTGGTGCTTGTGTCCTTACATCATCATCACTTATTTCTACGATGACGGAACATACCATCTTCGTCGCTTCTCGGCATCTATCTCCTTTTCGAGCGCAAGCAAGTACCACGGCTGGTCGTTTGGGCCAGGTGCAGCAGTAGTATTTCAATCGTTGTGCGAGGGTGAGATGGGTATGGGATAGTATCGCGTGGTGTCGGGTGTTGCGAGAGGTGAGTGAGTGTTGTCAAGAATGAGTGAGTGTTGTCAAGAATGAATGATATACCCAATCGATGAGACTCTTCCCCTACAGAAGTGGTGCCAGCCAAACTCTTGCCAGGTCAGGGCCTTGTCCTTGTCGACCGCCGTCAGGCTGGTTTCTATACCCTCGTCGGCGTAACCTCACCAATATGACCTATGCTATGCTCCCCCATCAACTCTATCCTGGATGTATGTAAAACCTGCACGTTTTTCAAGTCCCATACCCTTCGCCTGGTTGAGTGGTTCGTTCCTGTCATGCTGTTTGACGCTAGAAGTTGGCGGTCGTTTGGGAAAGGGAGTAAAAAGAGCCACCGTGTCCTCAACTCCTCACGCCCCCGTTTCCCCGTCCGTGCCACGCCATCGAATACCCTGCTGTACCCGTCCGAAACAATATCTACATGTGCAGGACGAGGTGACGCTTCGCAACCAGATCGACCCTCGCGCCCGCGCAGCCCTGCTCAATCCGGATCACCTCTATGACGTCCTCACCGACGACGTCAAGGAAAAGGTGAGAGCACCGAACAACACTATTTTCGGAGTAAGCCCCATTTGTGCAAACTATTGATCTGATGGATAACGGCGAAACTCCAGAGACATATGAAAATGCTGATACCGCTATTTTTGACGAACATAGACTTTCGTGCGTACCTTGAATGTTTCGTTCTATGCAGCACTTGTCACCGGTTTTCGACCAAATCAAGAGTTTCCAACCGAAAGAACCATGGAATGACCTTCGGAAGCTAGCCTAGGAAGCGCGTGTAACTTCCAAGTTGTTTCACCCATCCATCCATCCATGCCCTTCGTAGTGATTTCTGTTCGCACCTCTTTCACAATACATCCGCGAGGATATATGACCAAGGCGCGTTGACTCTGCACCTGGTACTCCTTTAACCGCGTGGAAAGCCTGTCAGTCCGAGAAACCGAGACTGATCGTGTCCGAAATGACAAACAAATGACTGAGCTGCTGATAGAACACCTAATTTCCACACGTACGTTTATTTTCAGTCTCAGATAACAAGTGTGTGTAGTCAACAAGTGTTTTTATGACCCCGCCGCAAAGCCATTTAGCTGTGAGATTGGAGTGCGTGTTCCCCCCCTTATTGCACGTTGCCCTCTCCAGCTTGTCACTCTTCATGTGACCATCCGTTCTGCTCCGTCCTTCCTCTTTCCGTTACCGTCTGTACTTATAAGGTCATCATCCTCCTCGCCAAGGCGCTTTCGCCAGACCCGACCAAGCGGCCTCCCATGGCCGAGATGCTCGCCGAGTTGGACGACATGAACGAGTGCCTGCTCGAGATCGAGACCCAGGGAGTCATCTCGGCGGCGACGGCAGCGGTGGTTAGGGGAGGGCCGTCCCGAACGGTCAGCACAGACGGCGGAGAGGGTAGCGTCGCCGCCGGCCATGGAGCGCCCCACCCGCCGCCGCCGGTACCCGCTACCCTCGAGACGGTGCCTGGAGCTTTCGAAGGATGCGGGAGCGCCGTTCCACAGCAGGTCGCGGCCGTTGCAGGGGTAAACTTCATCCCGTCGATCATCCCGCAGGTGGGGGTAGGCCCCGTTGTTTCGAGGGAAACAGCCGACGGCAGTGCTGCTGCTGAGGAGGAGGAGGGAGGAGGAGGCGGACGTTCAGCTCTTGCTCCACTGGCGACGCCAGCCACCGAAGGACAGAGGTCGACCGTAACCCGACCCCTCCAGGAAGGTTCCTTGCCCGTGTTGGGAGTTGTTTCTGGAGGAATGCCGTCACACGACGGTCGCAGCGGGGGTGGTAACCATGTTGTGCCGGTCGCAAGCACCGCATCGATTGTTCAGAGCGGAGTTGTTACCGGGGGATCTGCAGCGGCGATGCCGGGGTCTGCTGGTGTGAGGGGAGCGGTGGCGGTGACGGCGGCGGTGGGAGGAGGAAGAAGAGTGGTGGACAGCCAAGCACGCCTCCTCCAGTGTCCGGCGAGGCTAAGGTCGCCACGCACCGGCGATGTAGCGGCGGCAGATGGAGTGGGAAGGGCAAAAGGAGGTCGAGGGACAGGGTTGGTGCCGCGGGCGTTGGCGGTGAACGATGCCGCTCCCGATGTCGATAAAGGAGGTGACGGAGGGGGGCTTCGCACGTCGCACCGCAACAACCGACTCCCTGCGGGTCCTGCGCCTAGGAGGCCGACAACCAGGAGGAACGCGCCCGGTGGTGCAAGAATGGACGCCGGCCGTGTCACCAATTTCCACAGGGCCACCAACACTGCACGGGGGGGGTTCCCGCCGTTCGCCCACCAACAACGCCGCTGCAACTCCCGCGGTCCCCAAGGCCAGGGCAGGACGAATGCCTACCACGGTGGGCACCACGGAGGCAGCAGGAGAGGAATGGCCGAGAAGAGCGGCTCTGCTTTCATCCGCCAGGGACACCACCACCAACACGCCGGCGTGCCGCTTGCATGGGGGCACCACCACCTCCCCGCCGCGGCGAACAACCTGGTGCTGCCGCAGCCGCAGCCGCAGCCGCAGTTGCGGGCATACCCTCAGCACCAACAGTCGTGGGGCGTGGGGGGAGTAGGTGCCGCACCCTCCCACTACGTCCCTTCGGGGTCCTCGACAAGGCAGATGCACCAGGGTGGATATGTCGGAGGAGGAGGAAGGGCAGGCGTGTTCCGCCCACCCCAAGCCCCGGTGCTGCTGCAACCGGTACGGCAACCCTCGATTTACCACGACCCAAGGTACGCGGGAGGCGGCTGCGGAGGGTGGGGTGTACCCCGTGCGGGAGGGCACATGCCATTTATTCCGGGTGGAGCGTCTTCGCCTGCCTACTACCCACTGGCGACAGGTGTCAACGGGTTCCCGCCCAACTGGCAGAGAGCGTGCGCCGTGCGGTGATGGACATGTAGACATTTTGATGAGACGAAGAGCGTCTCAGCGGATAATGCGTGTTTGTGTGGGCGTGTGTGCGCCTCTGGGCAACGGAGAGGCGCGGAGGTCGCAAGTACATGTGAAATATTGTGATTGAGAGCATTCTTACAGTACGCAAGGGCGTGATATTTTTTTTTTTTGCACACCTAGGTAATCACCTTCTTATTTCGGAGGATTTTTTGGGGGCACCGTGTGCTCTATAGGGGGACCACAGTGCATCTGCGTGTCCCCTAGCCATGTGCGCCAAGCGCCAGCGCGCCAGCACGGGCCGCCCATGGCATGCATGCTGTGTGTTGCCCACCAGCTAGGCAAGAGGGAGAACATGATCAGCGCACCCTCAAGGGGGGGCGCAGGCCTAGCCCAGGCGCCTTCCAGCAGCAGGATTGACTGCAGCGACTGTGTACAAGGAGAACCGACAGTGAAGGTCGCGTGGAGTGGATTTGCTCCACCGCAGATTCATTGAATCTGTATTCTCGCGTCAAAGACGGACTCGCGAAGTTTTGCCGTTGGAATAGGCCTGAAGACGGCGGGTAAAAGCTCCATCGCCACACCGTGCACCAACGTGCCGCTGACGTACATTTTTTGCCTTCCCGAGCGTTGGGTGCGGAAGTACCCCATGCCCTACCACCACGTACAGGAGCAGCACGGCGAGGAATTGCCCATGAGAGAGAAGAAGGGTCCCGATATTGTGATATTTAAAGCCAGCTACGACGTAATAAGCGAGCAATGAGCNGGGCGCAGGCCTAGCCCAGGCGCCTTCCAGCAGCAGGATTGACTGCAGCGACTGTGTACAAGGAGAACCGACAGTGAAGGTCGCGTGGAGTGGATTTGCTCCACCGCAGATTCATTGAATCTGTATTCTCGCGTCAAAGACGGACTCGCGAAGTTTTGCCGTTGGAATAGGCCTGAAGACGGCGGGTAAAAGCTCCATCGCCACACCGTGCACCAACGTGCCGCTGACGTACATTTTTTGCCTTCCCGAGCGTTGGGTGCGGAAGTACCCCATGCCCTACCACCACGTACAGGAGCAGCACGGCGAGGAATTGCCCATGAGAGAGAAGAAGGGTCCCGATATTGTGATATTTAAAGCCAGCTACGACGTAATAAGCGAGCAATGAGCAATCCCACGTGATGGCAAAGCTGAAGAAGGGTCCGGGGGCCAGGACGTCTGTCGCTGGTGCATTGCGCAAGACTATTATAGTCAAAAACGCCCTTGGCCCACTGCAGCAGTAACAGTAGACTCGGAGTCGAGCGAACAGGGAGGGAGAAGTGAAGAAGAGGGAGGGGGAGCGGACAGCGAGGAAGGGGGAGGGGGGTAGGGGGGAAAGAGGAAGAGGAGGAGGAGGAGGAGGAGGAAGAAGAGTAAGGAAGAGGGTGAGGAAGAAGAGGAAGAGGGTGAGGAAGAGGAGGAGGAGGGTAAGGAGGACGAGGGGAGGAGGAGGAGCAGCAGGAGGAGCAGGACAAGCAGGAGGAAAAGGAAAAAAGGAGCCAGGTGTACGCTCCCGGGGGTGTAGACTAACTCCGCAACTGCGGTACTCGGAGTTGGGGTAGTTCTAAGTGCGAAAATGGTTGTTGGAACGGAACACTGCTGTGCTTAGATAGTCAGAAACTCCTACTACGTTTCGCGGTGTCCGTCGATCATTCATTCATTTTGGTTCTTTGTTCACGCGTGCAGAGGCGTGCGATGCTTTCCCTGGTGTTGAGTTCAACGAACTTTGATTCGAGTATAGGGTGTGGATGATGTGGAACTTTGTCGTGTACAGTTTCTCCACCAACGCGTTTCTTTCAGCTGTAGTGTCAGTACAGCAAGCAGTCAAACAGGTTTTAATGTGCATCAACAAAAAGCAAGAGAAAAAATGAGGGAATATAAAATATTTTCTTAAATTTGGCCCTCCCGGGGGGGGGGTACCTAGGCGTGCGGGACAACTTTTCCCGCGCACCCTTGCAGTACTTGCTTGTGATCTTCGGTAACTGGGGCCGCCGATGCAGTGCGATCATGACGAAAGCGCGTCTTGAAGTGATGCGAGAAGTGCAGTGGTACAGCAGTTTCGCAGGAGAAGAATCTGCTTGGTTTTAGCGATTGTATCGTGTATGCTGTGCGTTCGCCCGCTAGCCGCACGTACACCTGGCATGCATGTATGAACATGAAACATAGGCCAACGCCTCGACTATTGCCGCACGCCACGCCGGGTGGTCGCAGTTGCCAGTCACCAAAGGCTCAACAAAGGTGGTGACCATCATGGGATTGCTCGAAGCTTCTTCATGGCGCCGTAGTTGGGTTTTTTGTCGACTCAGTGACCGAGCCAACTGTGGGTATCGAGACACGTGAAAGAGTACCAAGATGAGGAACCGACAAAACCTGCAGTTAGAGCAATCTCCGAAAGATCTACCCCAACGTCAAGGTGTTCTATATTCGTAGGCCATTTCATTACTCCGTACCAGTTACTACAAATTCGGTGTTCTTGCCAAGTTTCTGAAACGAACGAAAATGAGAGAACGACGCCTGCTGATTGGATAATGCAGACTGTTCCATCCCTGTGTGCAAGTGCAATGCTGCCTTCCCACCTGAGTGAGCCTTCTCTTCTCTTAGAGCCCTGACAATTGTCAAATGTCGAGTGGATATTTGATAGAGCTTTTAAGAGAACAGCTGACGGGAGCGTGGTAAACGGGGCAAGCAGGAAAAATAGGGTTTCAAGTTATTCCTCTAGTCTAGAGGGACTGCGAGCCCTTCTATTCTAACCCAAGCCCTAGGTTGCATGGTGCCTCCTTTCATCGATGGGCTACGTGCCTCTTCCGCGCTTGCCCCCAGTAGCGCTGCCCACCCAGGGGTAGACAGACGCCACAGATAATCGTCCCGCGATTCGACCTGTCAGTACCCTCATAGTCATCCACGCTGCAAAGCATCCACACTAGACTAGTGTAGAGTGGTCCCCGTGTACCCCGGCACCGCCCTTGTCGAGTGGTTCAAAGGGGGTATAGCAGGTGAAGAAGCCCAATAAAACGATCTACATAGCCCTTAAGAATCGCTACAGAAGAAAAGCGGAGAAATGGGCAAGAACCGTCCCATTGGTTCGTTCATTTCTCACCGTTACAGCGATGTAGACTATGAATACGAAGGCAGGGATTGGTGCATAAGCATCAAGCATTCAAAACTCAAATGTATTTCGCCCGAGTATCACGCGAACGTCATGTAATCGACAGAAATAGTGGCTACGGGGGTGTCTCCAACGTACCACCAGTGGAATGCAATGAGCAACCTGTGATTCCGCAAGAGGGGGCACGGGCATAAACTGAAAAATACACTCGTAGTGACTTGCCATCCTTTTAGCGGGCCCTGAAACCAACCCCAAGTGTTTTCTTGTCTAGTACTTCGAAAGCAATGCAATATTGGTACACGTTGGACAACAGCTGTTCGCCAGAAATGAAATTCAGGTGTCTTCCAACGCCAAGCTTTCATCAGATAAAGACTGTAGCACGGAACGCTTCGAAAAATACCATCCTCAGTGCAGTTCAATTCACCTCGAAATCCCTCCCGCGTCGAGACATGGCGTATGTTAAGTTTCGTTCCAAAGCAATACACCGAATCTTTCCCTACCCCCGCAGTGTTTAAAGCTCTACCGTTTAACCTCTTGGAACGACCCAAAAGCGGAACCAACCCAACGCAATATGTGAGTAGTTGACAGCGCGTAGAGGCCGAGGCAGGCCACAATGGCAAACCATCGCTCTATTCACAAAGCGTAGCTCAATAGTATATGGTCAACGTTCCTCGTCTGGCTCACCAAGCCGAATTACGGGTCCAGGAGACACGAGACGAACCAATCGAAATGTCGAACAATCGTCAAACGTGGGACGTTCGATGTGACTCAATCCGCACGAACTAGGCCAATGGGTGACCTAGATGTGGATGTGGGCTGCGGTGAACACGCTGTCCAGGGGGCCCTCAACAAGGTCTGCGTGGGTTCGATCGACAGCGTGTTGGTATCCGGGGACGGTGTCAAATGCGTCGTGAAAACATTTCCTGAGGCGAGCAAAAGGGGAACTGCTGCGCCCGCGTGTGCTTTCGCTTAGGGCGGCATGAACATTACCGGTTGTTTTCCCTTGTCACCCTGTTTATGCGAGTTTCCTCGAGACTATTGACTCCATGTTGAGGTTGCTTTGGCGGCGAATTAGTACAATGCCCAAGTCGACATTTTCCCGTTGCAAGTCGAACACAGTGCTACCTTACCTTACTCCGCCACATGGAATTCGAAGTCGGAACGACACTACGAAACATTCACCGAGAGCGGTTCACTCACAGTCGTCTTGAGCCCCGCGGATAGACGCCATACCCTGCATGATGGGGCTGCCGTTGGCATCAAGAGTGGGCTTCTGCGTCTCGCCGAGGATGCCCGTGGCGTTGGGGCTCACGTCAATGCGGTCGATGGCTAGGTTCATCTGCCACGTGAGATGGTCCGGGAGGTCAAAGCTCTCCGTCGGGTCACGCATGGGAAGCTGGTGAAGGCGGCCATGGCTCGCCGGATCGTGCCCATCGGGGTCAAGATTTGGAACGATGTGTGTTCCAAATCATGCTCGAACAAACCACCCAAGCCGTTTCTCGTCGCCTCCACCACATACTCCGTGCACTCGGCCATGTTGGTCGCGGTAGGGTCACCTAGGATCCAGTCGGACATCGCCTGCATCTGCGTGGAAGAAGGAAGCCTTCGGCCTCCACGAGCGTACTCTTGTTTCTTGCGCTCCCAGTACTCTTCAAACCCGAAAGACCTGATGGGATCCACGAACGAACGCGCAATATTGTTGGGACATGAGCGCATACCACACAGTTAACTCTGGGCGCCCGAGAACATCTTACTTATTTTCGCCTGACGAGTTCTCAGATACTGTCGGCGAGGGGGAGTAGACATGAGGCGGTTGCAAGGACCTTCATCACCAGGTCGAGTTCGTGGTTCGGTTAGCTACCTGCAAGCGCCAGGAAGATTGACCGCAGATATTGCCACCTGGGGTCCAAAGAGAACCTCGCCGGGGGCAAGTAGAGCATGTTTACCGTCGAGTTGCACCGTCAATGCACCGTCCGCCAGACAAGGTGAAACTCCCACGGGACAGGCACTATCCAGACTGTGCGGGTCTGTGACCGTGATGACAATGGTGTGATCTAGACCGTTGGCGTCAGTGGTCGTGATTCCGAGTCCGGTGATGTACGTGATCTCGGGCACGGATGGAACGAGGGACCTTGCGCGCATGTTCAGGTGGATGCGCGGCATATCCGAGTGGACCGAGTACCAGCCTCCGTCTTGCCCCGTGAAGTCGAACTTTTGGCCGCGGAAGCCCGTCATGTGAGGGTCACCTGAAGGGAGGGAAGGAAGGAGGGGAGAGAGAGTAGGAACGAACCCGTGGCAGAGTTCAAGTTACCCCTCCCAGCCGCGACACGAACGCCGCGTTTTCCAGCATCCGTTTCCTCGTCTGGACGTTTTCGAGATCAGCGCAATGTAAACGTGACACGCGTCGTTGACGGCTACGGGTGACTCTGACATGGACGCATGGGCCCCGAATCGATCCTCGGCATTCAGAGCGACTACTACTCTGCGGTTGAAATGGAAGGTTCTCTGCTGCGCATCGGATGGGCTTCTCACCGCAAGCCCCGGTCGTTGTGTTTGGCACTTCGCAGAAGTTCCTGTCGGGACAACATATTTCGTCCATGTCCGTGTCGCAGTCATCATCGTTTGTGCAGGCTGTACGTGTAGACATCGAACGTAAATTCGGGGCCACAGAGGGGCAGAGAAAGACGAACTGAGAGGCGGAGTTGGCGGCGGGGGAATGAGGCCATTGGACGAGTCCCTCCGTTCGCGATATAGTTTTGGAGAAAGTTTGGGCGGAAAAATCAGGAAAGGATAAACGGACGAGTGTTAGGGCGTTAAATTTGCTCTCGTCAACATCTCACCACACACAGTACATGCTAGATGGTTGGGCTTTTTTCTTTCCACTCAACGAAACACGGCCCTCTCTGAACCGACTGGTCTTGGGCCGGACATCGGCCGTGCGTTTTTGACAGGGACAGCACCCATGTCAGCTAGAAACAATATAAGAAAACAACTCAATTCGTGGGACACCGGGGATATCTGGTAGCGGGTACATATATCCAAGAAACACGTTGTTCACGTAAACCATGTCACTTGGCAAGTGATTTTTGCTAATCCTCCGAAACTGCGCCCCGTCGTTTTCTTCCCGCAAAAACGGGCACACCATGGGACTGACACCTTGAAGCAACGGCCCAGGGTGGCGTAGGTGACTTTCGTGGGCGCCTCTTCTTTCAACAAGCTGATCATTTTGTTCTTTGGAATATCTGGCGGTGCTCATCCATCCACGCCTTCCATTGTGGCCGACAACACCTCAAGGGTAACGTAAGGCCAATTTGCGTTAGCTATTTCCAGAATCGTCCGTTTCTGCGTGTGGTCTTTCTTTCAAACCAGCCATGGCACCATAGCTTGCTCCGTTCAACGTGCGAGGTAAGGTAGCCGAATTGTCCACCTACGTTCATGGTCCATGGGACTACAACAAGTACGTTTCTGTCCATAGACAAGCGCCATGGAAAAATATTGATCTACGTTCAACAACGTGAGCACGATGAGATACTCCGTAGATACGTCGTGCAGCGACCTCGTCCGCGTGTTTGCAGCAGACATGCACCGTGACAGCCAACGTCATGAATGGCCCACCTCTACACTCCGACGTTGGATCCTGACAGTCGCATCCGTTGACGCCACACTCTTCGTAGAGCCCAGGTGGACAATCGCACTCACAGCACTGCGTAGTAGGAGATTCGAAACAGTCGGGAGGATTACAGTTGAGAGAGAGTTCTAGGCATGATCCCTTTGTCGAGGCCAGCACACCCCCGACGTATCAATGCTTTTTGGAGAACCTCGCAAACGTCGAACAGGAAGGTGGTTCTTTCGCGTCAATTTGGACGCACATGAAGAAGCTGCACGAAGCCGGCACGAATTCGAGCAGTCATGACAGCAAACGACTATCACCCCATTGACGTTCAATGGACGCATAAGTCCGAGGTGGCGCATACATAACCGACCCCGAGTCTTGTTGGTGATTCTGCATACTCACATCTCCTCCGTCGTACCCGCACTCTTCGATGTTGTTTCCTGAAACGCACAAGACCATACAGGAATGGGGTTGGTATCTTAGTTCTTGTATGCGTGGCTTCACACAGTTCCAAGCGTAGAATCACGAAGACACGAAATATATATGTTCCCATACACGACCCCTTGTGCACCTTAGCACGCGCTTAGAGTGCGGTTCCGTAGACGACACCGCGGGTGCATGCATGTTCCGAAGGACACGTTGAACTCTGTCCCACCGCGGACTTCAACTGCCTTTCCACCGCAGGTATGCCTATGTTGGGTCTCGGCTCCACGCAAACGGTACTGTTACACGTCTGAATCCCCGAATACGGCGATAGACTAGATAGGTCCAAGTCAAACCAAAGCTTACCGGGGTCACAGTAGGCATCCCGAGTGTATCCGACGGCTACGCCGCTCACAGTGCAATCAGGGTAGAGGCAAGCTGAGGCTGGGTCCAGGCATTCGTATCCGCCACTGCCGCATTCGAAGGATCCAGCTACACAATTGCACGTACAGCACTGCACAGGCATTGCCGAAGGGTGGGGCCGGCGAAATCACAATTGTAGGACCGACGCGAGCCCTCCGGGGCCTTTTCAAGGAAAGACGCCTCTATCGTGGCAGCCACACTCACTCCTGAGGCATCTAAGTCTTCTACACTAAATATTACATCAAGTAGGTGCGTCCGAGAGCTTAAGCAGTAGCGCAACAGGCCTTTGGTCGAACCGGCCTTTTGCGTCCGGCTAGCCTTTCCAATCCACGCAGGCTACGGGGAGCCATGATAGCAACAACATTGAAGTCATACATAGTGATGCATAGCGATGGATCGGACGTAGCACCCATGAAACCCCGTCAGTAAGCCAAGACCAGCAATCGTTACTAGTTGCCGAAACACCGCCGTACACTCACATCGCCGTCGTCATATCCGCACTCTTCGATGTTGTTTACTGGAACGTGCAACAGGCAGGAGGACGCGGCTTAGAGTCTGAATGGGAGGGTTAGCGCCTACTGCTCTGAGAGTCGGCCGTACATCTGCATGTTAACCTATGTGAAGGCTTACTATGCCAGAGCTCCAGGTCTTGGGGCTGTCCAGGCAAACAAGGCACCTCTTTCCGCCATCACACCAGCCGTTGCCTACTTCGTCATTTCCGCCGCTTGCGGCGCAATCGGGGTACTTGCACAATGCTGAGTCGACACAGGTACCTGCTACCTGCAAGATACAACGGTCAACACCACAATATGATGAGGGGGGTGTTAAGAATGACACGTGCGGTCGGTGGGCGACACCCGCAACACGAACGCCATACTGCCAGCTGCCATGTCGTCCGGCGTCGGCATAATAGTGTAAACAAGCAAATGTGGAAGTTGCGCCGTTCCCTCTTTCCAGCATTCGCATCGAATCTCGAATGATGGTGCCCCATGGATCTTGGAAGTATTTCTTCACGAGCACAGCCGGGTTGTTGTCACCATCTCGCTCAAAACAATTTGGTAGCATTGCCAACGCGCACTTAGTGACTACCAAAATTAGTCCCGACATGTGTCACATGGCCTATAATGGTCAATGACGCATGCTGGTCAAACAAACCACGTGGCCACAAACTAGTGAGCCGGCCCTTTGCGTTCGTTGGTACCTAGGTCTGCGTGCGATCCACTAGTCTGCCGCTCCACGTTATGAGAGGACGTACCATTTCGTCTTCGTTCGATCATAAAAGGTACTGTGGGCAGCCTTCAGAATTTTCTTACTGTAGGGTTCATAAATTAATGGCGACCTCGACGACCCCGGCGTAATACCGCTCCTAGGCGCCCCCTCGACACACATGGGGGTCCCGGTGCATGGCAGATAGAAGTGGTTTGTGTTTTCAACCGCACTAAGACTGACGTCTTTCCATTGGTCAGTCGGTGAGCGCGGTCGATGCTAATAATAAACACACGTACACGTTGCCCGGGCCCTTACCGTATAAGACAAATACTCAACGGAACTCAAGTGGGTTGGATGCTCCGTCTCGAGATAATATCCAATATGCGTGGCGAGTGGTTCAATTCAGAGGATAGTCGAACGCGATGGGATACATGCACAACCCTCCCGTGTTGTCTCAAGCGTGCGAAATTCTCGACTATTCGTCTCCCGTAGCATCAATTTCGTTTTTCAACCAAACCTCGTTCGGAGCGGGGCGACGAGGTCGCGAAATATGCGTAGCGCATGACACTTTACCTACGAATCTGAAATTCGTTGGAAGGACTGACCATACATGGTAGGTACGTTGCGTACGGTCTTGCACGCCTTCGTGGCAGCGGGATTGGATGTAGTGATTTGGATATATTTTGAGGACGTGTGTGATCCTGCGTACGCCACAAAGAAAACAGAATACTTAGTCATTTTAAACGTGTGACGTGGACTTGTGCAACTTGTGTCAAAAAAATGACGCCGTCCGTGAGTTGTAGCGCTCACTTCGAGACAACACACACGACACAACACAAACCGCGGAAAACACGACATCATGGACACCGCCATGGATATCACGACCACCCAGCGTGGCCGGCAGACCAAAACCCCGGCGAAATTCCAGCAGACGGGCTCTCTCGGTGCCGCCGTAGGCGGTGGAGGCTTGCTCTCCAGCAAGATAGTGCTGCTGCCTGGCATCTCGGGGAACACTCATGTTACCACGGGAGGCGCTACCGCCACCAACACTCAGAGCGAGGGTGGAGCAGGCCGCCGGCGAGGGGTGGCAACCACTGCTCCTACCCCCCCGGGAAAAGGAAAAAACAAAGCGGCGGACGCGAAGCAACAACTGCAAGCCATCATGGCGGACCGCCGTTTTTCGGACGACACAGCAACAGCAGACAGCATCGTCAACGTTGGCAACAGCGACGATAGCAATAGCGACAGCGACAGATGACTCACACACAACCCTAGCTGACTTTCTACGGTGAGGGGCACTCGTGGTGCAAACGCAGCAGCCCTCGCGTCCCTCTGCAAGGGTACTTTGGAAAGTGTTCCAAATACTTTGAGAGGGTTGTCAAAAAGTTGGAACGAAGTGGAGCAAAGTTTTCGAGCCCAACTTCGTTCCAAATATTTTTGAAAAAAATGGACAAACGCCTACATACAGGTTGCATTTTTTGACACTTTCAAAAATTTTGACAAAAAGTCGGTCCGTTTGAAACGGCCCTTAACAAAACCGAAAAGTATGCTTGCGGCGAAAAACTCCGCCAGACGATTGATTCGAATGATCGGTTTCGTTGACTAGAAATAACTCCTGGGTGCTACCAAGGGTGTAAAACTTTCACCGAACAACACAGCACACAGAACGGCACATACCGTTTTCACAGTACTCAGATTAGAGGTGTCCGGAGAATGCCGGATGGCGACTTTAGTCGGAAAAGGGGCGAAGCAGTCTACAATTCCTGCCCAGCTCATCGCAAACACCATCCTCGCAGATGCTGTCGCAGCAATCGAGTGAGGTGCATGATTCCCCCGAAGAAGCGCGCGTGCGTGTTCAAAGTCCTGAAATCCGCTATAGCGTCCTGCCGGGATCGTAGATGCCATGGTTCGGCAGCGCGGCGTTTCAAGTCCAAGCAGAGGATGGCGTCACACGCAGAGTATATGGTGGTCGGGACAAGATTTGGAAGGTGGTGCTGTAGTCTGATAGTGCACAATTAGAGTTTGCTTATAAATCCTATTATACTGCAGAAAAATAATTAAGTCAAATGTAGGTGACTTGCTCTGAATTAAATAAATAGCTTTGGAAGCGCGCGTAACTTCCGAGTTGTTTCACACATCGCTGCACCTCTTACCGTATCAATCAAGTCGTATTTCGTTGACAATACATTCCTCCGCGATACGTGATCAAGAAAAGTTGATTCTCCCCTTGGTGCGTGGAAAGCCCGTCTGTATAAAAAAATGTGATTGAACGTACGTGTCCGATTCGGCAAACAAACTACAGTAGTCTATTGATAGGGCCGTTTTTTGTTTTAACATGATGTAGATCTACATTCATTTTTCAGTTCCCTCAGTCCTCCTGCGTTTTAGGACCCCGCCGCATATGAAATAAAAACCTTCACTGCCATTTAGCTGTGATATTGGAGTGAGCGTTCCCTCCCTCATGATTCGTCACCTCTCCAGCTTCTCACTCTTCAAATGAACAGCTAGCTGTTCTCCTCCGTCCTCCCTATTTCCGTTACCGCCTATGCTTGAAAAGGTCATCAACCTTCTCACCAAGGCGCTCTCACCAGACCCGACCAAGCAACCTCCCATGTCTGAGATGCTCGCCGAGTTGAACGACATGAACGAGGGCCTGCTCGAGATCGAGACCCGGGGAGTCATCTCAGCGGCGGCGGCGGCAGCGGTGGCTGGGGGAGGGCCGTTCCGAACGGCCAGCACGGACGCCGGAGAGACTGGTGTCGCCGACGGCCACGGAGCGCCCCACCCACGGTCGCCGGTGCCCGATACCCTCGAGGCGGTGTCTGGAGCTTTCGAATGACGCGGGAGCGCCGTTCCAGGCCAGGTTACGGCCGTTGCAGGGGTAAACATCATCATCCCGGCGGTCATCCCGGCGGTGGCGGTGAGCCCCGTCGTTTCGGAAACAGCTGACGGCAGTGCTGCTGCTGCTAAGAAGGGAGGAGGAGGCGGACGTTCAGCTCTTGCTCCATCGGCGACGCCAGCCACCGACGGTCGGAGGTCGACCTCATCCCGACCCATCCCGGGAGGTTCCGTTCCCGTATTGAGAGTTGTTTCTGGAGCACTGCCGTCCCACGACGGTCCCAGCGGCGGTGGATCCATGTTGTGCAGGTCGCAAGCACCGCATCGGTTGTCCAGAGCGGAGTTGTTACCGGGTCATCTGCGGCGGTGATGTCAGTGTCTGCTGGTGCTGGAGGAGGGCTGGCGGCGATGTCGGTGGTGGGAGTGGGAGGAGGAAGAGGAAGAGGAGCGATGGACAGCCAAACACGCCTCCGGCAGTTTCCGGCGAGACTAAGGTCACTGCGCACTGACGATGTAACGGCGGCAGACCGGGTGGGAAGGGCAAACGGGAGCACAAGGACATTGTGTGGGTGCCGTGGGCGTTGGCGATGAATGATGCCGCTCCCTATGTCGTTGGAGGTGGAGGCGGAGGAGGTCCAAGCATGTCGTACCACACAGCAACCGACTCCCGGCGGGTCCTGCGCGGAGGAGGTCACCACCACGAGGAACGCGGCCTGTGGTGTATGGACGGCGGCGGTATCGCCAATCCCCACAGGGCCACTAGAAATGCACAGGAGGAGTCCCGCCGTCCGCCCACGGACAACGCCTCTACAACTGCCACGGTCCCCATGGCCAGGGCAGGACGAATACCGCCACGGTCCTCAAGTTCAGGCCAGGACGAACCGGGGGAACGAGCAAGACAAGTATCTGTAGGGCGAGATTGTTCTCCGCCGTGGGTACGTCCGCTAGATGCAGGTACACCTCATCTGTGTGCACGAAACAGAGGCCGACGTCTCGACTGTAGTCGCACAACACGCCGGGTGTTCGCTGTTGCCAGCTGCCAACGGCTCGGTCAGTGCTGTGACCATGATGGGATCGCTCCTTCGGGGGCTCCTTCATGGCGTTGTGGGTGACCGAGCCATGTGTTGGTACCAAAGCAAACGAAAATGGTTTCAAGAGGAGGGACCAACGAATGTGCAGCATGGACGTTTCCCAAGATCTATCTGCCCTAACGTCAAGGTTCCCGTTATTAATGCGCCGCCGGAAAATTCACCGCCATGAGATACAGCGACGACAACGGAATTTCAGTCCTTGGGCACAGAGCAGGCAGGAGATCCTTCAAGCATCCCACTAGAAAAAAAAAAAAGCCTTTATGGAGACAGGAGAGATCAACAACAGCTGCGGGCCAATGGATGTCTTCCAACCATTCGTCACAACACCGTTACAATCCTGGAAAGTCGACGAGGGAGGCACAAGAAAAAAATCATAAAATGTGTCAAACTGCACCTTGATTTGAGCCACACGCACAAATCGTCGTCACCACGTCAAATATCATCTACTGCTTGCCCCGGGAGACGAGATTGAACTATCAGCCGGCGACTCGCCGCTAGTGCATCCAACGCCGACGGGGCGAAACACATCGCAGGCGAACAGGTGCAAGCTACAGAGAGCTCCAACGAAGCCCGCCCTTACCGCAACCACACAACATCCTCTATCTTGCAAGCTTCAGTTCATTCCCTTGAGATTATCAGCACCAGGGTGCAGCCCATCCTTACATCCCTCAACATGATGATCCTCTCGACCCCCCCGCCCCCCCCTGCCCCAATCGATCGGAGTCTTCCATCAAGTTAAAACCCTAGCCCGCCCATAGCCTCCCCCTGCTCCTTGCTGAACATCTCGTAGTACTGGTAGATGATGGTCACCGCCAGCAGGATGCCTGTGCCAGAACCGATCGCCCCCAAGAAATCCGCCGCCACGGTCAGCGCCCCGATGCACATGCCGCCGAACGCCGCCGCCGTAGGGATGTAACGCTCGAGCACCTGTTTCGTTCCCCGGCGTGTTTTATTCGTTCCCGAACCAAACCATTGCACACAGTGCGAACCATGGTTGTTTTCGGCCAGGACGAGAGAAGGACGGGTACACCCAACGTGCGATGACGAACAGGGGGGGCAGACGGCCGGAGGCGGGGAGGGGGGGCGGGGGACCAAGACGGAGGAGGTTAGAGGGCAGGGTTCCAGTAATCTTCGGGAAACGGAACCTGGTGAAGAGTCTTTGGTTCACCGTGCAGGCCTGTCGGAATTCTTCGAGTTGACGAGCGAACGCATGATACTGCAGAGAAAAACCTTTCAGTCAACTACTCCGTATATTGTTACTCAACAGAAACTGCGGCATGAAGAACTGCGCGTCCATTACCGAATCTCGTGCTGCCCCTGGCAACCAAGATACCACTGCAACAGGCTAGGGATTCTTCCAGCGGAAAAGGGGTGGGTAGGACGTCGGTTGTGTCCCAGTCAGTCCCATCCCTCTCTCACGCAAAACAAAGTTGCTGCTGAACGCGCAGCGCATACACGCAGGGATTCGATGTGTAGAGCGGATGGCCGCTGCACCCCTGTGCCGCCAAGCACGACAACATCGTCTTTACGCCGGAGAGGCGGACGTAGACGACGCTATTGAGATGAGAGCCTCGAAAAGCGCACACCTATCCCTCTTGAATCTGCACCACTCGTTTTATGATGGAATAGGAGAAGCACAACAGATACAGCAGAAATGAAGTAACCTGGTCCTACGCTCTCTGCGGTTGCTCACGTGCACAAGGGCGTCGTCCCTGTGCCCCTTCATCACCATCTGCTGGTCCCTCAGCTGCTTTGCCACGTCCTACGCCATCAGCAGCAGCAACGGAGAACAAACACACAACGCACAAGAATTTAACGTTGGTTTGAGGAATCGGGCCAGGGACGTCATGCAGCCGTCGCTTACATCTGCCTTGCCACCGAACGAGGCACCAGCATCGATTGCACTTCTCAACACAAGCGCGATAAAAAAAAAGGGTGAGCCTACGCGACGCAATCACGTGTCCCGGCCCTCCTGCATCGTGCCCTCAGGTTGCGTCAAGGCGACCAACGCAAGCAGCCGCGACAACCGCGAACAGCTTCGTCCTTGAAAAGAAAAAAAGACAAACCCATCTACCTTGGCCGAAGATCCCGACACCTCGATCCAAGTCTTGGAGAACAGCGCGCACGCCGTGAGGATGAAGGTGATGTAGATCACCGCGTGGACGGGGTCCTTGAGTATCTCCGCCATGGTGGTCGGGGGCGAGATGTAGTACGCCAGCCCACCCACGGGCACAGAGGTCCCGGGCATGCCCTCGACCTCCGCCCATCTTCCCATAAGACGCACCTATGAACAAAACAAAAACATGAACCAGGGTTAGGTCTGGCAAGCGTTCAAAGATTTGTCAAGCAAGCCAGGACCATGGGACATGATGACGTGTGATGTCTACAAGTAGAGAAATAGATGTCCATTTGATGACCGACAAAGGATGGTAACACGACGTGTAATCAACCCGCAATCTCAACAGAGCAGATTGCGCATAGAGCTGCGCACGTCAAGGACCAAAAAAAAAAAAAGCACTTTCAAACTTGAGGCACATCAGCAGCTACCGCCGCTTGTCAAGCTCGCCTTCCCTGACAGGGAAAAAACAAAATAGCAAAGTAGAACGACATAATTCCTACACGGACTACCCAAAACAAAAAAACCCCCACCAACAATACCTGCACACTTGATGTCACGGGGCATTGCAAACGTACCCAACAGCCGGCCAACACACATAAGGGGAGTCTGGAGAGAGCTTCGACAAAAAGAAAGCCATAATACATGCATAGTCGAAGACAGCTCACCAACAGGTTGCCCGCGTAGCGGTTGTGCAGGAGCTGGCTGAGGAAGTAGAGGTTGGACACGAGGGCCGTCTGGAGGATGACGGGCATGTTGGACGTGTAGAAAAGCTTGATCGGGTAGGTGCCCTGTTGACCCCGGTACTTTTGGTACTTCACCTGCGAAACAAAAGGGGACAGCAACGGAACCAGAGAGCACCACAAGGCTTAAAAAACAAAACCCGTCCAAATGGAGATCTGGATGTATCCAACGTCTAGAGACTACTTGCTATGCGGGAGGCGGCGGGGGTGGTACTCAGCCTCGACAGGCTCGCAAGAAAGCTAACAGGGACGTCGCTTGAGATAAATCGAGCCAGAATGGTCTACCCAAGCACGATGCGTGCGACCATCGCAAAAACATGATACCCACCACAGACGGGAACCGACCGGAACAGCAGCCGAGTGACCCACCCGCAGATCGCGGCGGACAAAAATCACTCAACGCGCAGCATCTAAACCAGACCAAGCACAAAAAACATGAAACTTGAAAAGAGGGACCAACGCATTTTCTTGCAAACCGACGTCAAGACGTCTATATTGTGTCGTTTTGGGTGGGGTTGTACCCTTGGGCTTCAGTAGCTTTTGATATCGTACGTACAATATATTCCACCCGTTGAGTTCGTGTTGCGTTCGTTTCACATCAACAACAGAGGAACATCTTTACGTAACGACACCAGCAACACCCCCGCGCCGACACGCTTTTGCCAGTTTTATGACCACCCCCACCGCACAGACGAACATATTTACGTAACGACACCAGCAACACCCCCGCGCCGACACGCTTTTGCCAGTTTTATGACCACCCCCACCGCACAGACGAACATATTTACGTAACGACACCAGCAACACCCCCGCGCCGACACGCTTTTGCCAGTTTTATGACCACCCCCACCGCACAGACGAACATATTTACGTAACGACACCAGCAACACCCCCGCGCCGACACGCTTTTGCCAGTTTTATGACCACCCCCACCGCCAGTGCCACCGCCAGTGCCACCGACAACAACGACAGCAGCGATAACACTCTCACCGGCAGGTCCACCCTCCAGCCCTGGAAGTAGATCACCACGATGAACACCAGCGCGGTCGCCAGGAGGTTGGTGATATTAGGGAGGTTTTGCCTGTAGAATGCCTCCTGCAGAGCGCGCATCTGCAAGAGAGAGACAACAGGGAGGGGGGGGAGAGAGAGAGGACGACCACAAGCGAGAGTCGCGGCAAGGCTCTTCTTGAGTGATTTCCACTCCCGACAAGCAAACAACCAAGAGACGCACCAGACGCACAAGGCGATGACCCGATCCTTGCCGAACGCGGAAAAAAAAATAGAGAAGATAGTCGCGCTACACCTGTCCGGCCTGCTCGTGTCACTGACGCTACACTACGGCCGCTACCATCTGCTAGAGACACATACCTTGTCTGGCCGCGTGATCATGAGGTGGAAGAGCGCGATGATGGCTCCCTCGAACTCGGTCCCCCTCCCCGTGTTGATTGTCGTCGGCGAGAACGCCTTCCAGATAATCGTCTCGCAGATGTTCGTCGCGATGAAGAGGGAAATTCCCGAACCAAGCCCGTACCTAGCGTCACGACCACAGCAGTAGTCGTTCGCGTGCGCTCTCATCAGATGTCAGCCACTAAGCACACGCAAACACTTGAGACAGACGCATTTTTGCAATGGCCAACCCGCTACACAAACGCGGTTCATCGTCCTAACAGTACGGATACACGCACGCCGGCACTCGCGCTTCTTCTCACCCCTTCTGCAGCAGCTCGTCGAGGATGATAACGATCAGCCCGGCGAAGAAGAGCTGGCAGATGATGAGGATGGCGTTACCGGCACCGAGGGTAGACAGGTCGCCGTACATGCCAGACACCACGTACGCCACGGCCTCTCCAATCGTGATCAGGATACCGAATAGCTGGGAAAGGGCGACGGAATCATTATATTTCGGGAGGGTTTTTTCACAGAAGTTAGGCGTTCTCGCTGGTAGATACCGGCTTCAGAATTTCGGTCATCGGACGGGCGCCCGCCACGATCAGAGTTTGCACTCGAACGGCTGTCTAGCTAGCGTTGGCACTCCAGGATTCAACACAAAGAAGGAGACCAACAGCCAGCAGGGTGTGCGGATGAAGCAGCTGGACAGTTTTGAAGATCTGCTGGGAGGCGGAGTTGTGCGAACTCAGAAATGCTTTCCTTAAAGCAAATGGATGCCGCTGGTACCAGATCCAGCGGCATCTAGCTTCAAGGAGAGCATGCTCGAGTTCGTACAACTTCGCTACCAGGTCGTCCTCCCTCCCGATCTCCAAACTGTGCAACTGTTTCATCCACACATCCTCATTTGGTTTTGCTACCCGCCACCCCTCGGTCGAATACTCTCACGGGTGGGACTGGACCTAACGCCCCCGCACGTCCACCAACCAATCAACTAACCACCTGAAAACAACATATTGCTCTCAGGGAGAACCATGCCTGTTTGGGAACAACTAACACCGTCCGACAGGCAGTCTTAGCCAAGAACCCCCGACAGGGGAGGCACGAGGGTGGGAGGGGGATGGGATCAGTTCGATTTCAAATTTCAAACACATTTAAAAATATTGAA